CTCCCCGCCTCGCCCTGCCCCGGGGCGTCTCGCCGGGAAGGTTACGCCCGGGAAATGTCCACGGCAGAAAGCCCGGCTGGGAGAAAAGGAGGAGATGAGCAGAAGTTGTCGGAACTCCCAAGTGTAACTCTCGGTGCCAGCGGGGAGGGAACAAGAAGCGCGATCAGAGCCAGCCCAGCATCTCCCCCCCCCCCTGCGAGGAGAGAGCCTGAGATGTAGCCACGCCGATTTTTACCTTCTCTTTCATGTGATTCTTGCTTTCTCGCATTTTTTTTTTTTCAGCGCTCCCGCATCCTACTGCCGTGTTTAAAAGAGCTTTTAATGCAAAGGCTCTCTTGTTGCTATTGTTCCTTCTCTTTTCTGCACATCCATGGCGTAAACTCGGTTTTCTTGACAGCATCTCCCTGATGGGATTAACTTTTTCTAGCTTAAAAATTGTAGTAAAGGTTGTGTTTTTTTTGTTTTTTGGGGGTTTTTTGAGGGGGGCAGACATTTAAATGAATGAGTAGAGGAAGCGCAAAAGTTTGCAGCCTTCAGGAGTCCAGAGTTTTGCATTTGAACCTTCACTTTATCTCTCTTCCAAAGCCCAGCCTAACATTTGTGCTTTTTTTCCAGAGGGCTGGCGTAGTTCATTAAGATATCGTGTGTGAACTGTGCGAGCCGGATGAAACTCCAAATATTAACAGTTTCTTTTTAGGTCGATAGCTCGTTTCCCCTCTTGTCTTCTTTTAGTTCATTTTCACTTTTCACAGCACTGCTTCCCGGGGCAGATCTACGCTCTGCAAAAATATCCAGGATTCGTATCAGTTCTAACCGGGACGCCGTCAGGGATGGGATGGGATATTATCTCATGTTCCTCATCGAGGCCTTGTTCATCGCTGCCCCTCGCTGCGGGTATTTGCTTCTCCTCCTCGGAAAAAATATGGCAGCGGCCGTTACATGATGTGCTCAGCTGGCGTGAGCAGACCCCGAGTAGTATTTTACTCATTGACGATACAGCTAAGGGAAGGTGCCCATCAGGTGGCCCAAGTGATCAGAGTTTTGTGCCCCGGTGACAGGAAACTAAACTGAAAAACCTCCAATCCGTTGCCTTTTGTAAAATGTAGTTGCTTTCTTTTTTCTCTTTGCTTATTGTTTAGCGACGCAGTCTGCTTTTTTCGTACGATTCTTTTTCCACGGACTTGCGTTGAGCACAGAGCTCCAGGAGAGAGCACGCGGTACTTACAAATCATGAAGAAAACAGGGTTTTCCCTGCAGAACCTCTGCCTGGTGCTTGACTGCAACAGAAGAGCCAAAGCACAAGGTCCTGCTGCAGACGGAGCCATTGGTGCTGCGAGGACGTTGTGCCAACCTCCCCGCTCCCTGGGCGAGGGGTGATGTCAAGGAAAGTACGGAGTCATCAGTTCTCTGAAAACGAAACTCGGGAAAGCACCAGCAGTAGCTGACATGAGAACGTGTGATGTTTGGAGGTGACAGTGGCCAGCTCCCGAGGAGAACTTGCAGCCAAGCAGAGAGGGGAGGATAAAGAAAGGGGCTGGTAGTGGTTGTAGTGTAGTCGAGGGTCTCCTGGCAGCAGCCGTGCAGTTCCAGGGGCCTGGATTTCACAGGATAAAACCTAGAAGGATTTCTGTGCAGAAGGGGCTGCTGGGCATTGGAATGGGCTGCCCAGGGCAGGGGGGAGTCCCCGGGATCCCTGGAGGGGTTGAAGAGTCGGGCTGAGCCAGCGCTGAGGGATCTGGGGGAGCTGGGAACGGTCAGGGGGAGGGTCAGGGTTGGGCTGGAGGAGCTTCAAGCTCTTTTCCAACCCAGATGGTTCTGGGGTTCTGTGGTTGAGCACATGCCAATGCAAAGCTGTAAACACAAGACCTAAGGTTGGTGTTGAGTGTGCGCTTCAGGGAGCGGCGGCTGCCTGGCGTGGAGCTTGCTCACAGGAGGAGGATTACAAACTCTGTCCTAGCAGACCTTTGCAGCTGACAGCAGATGACGGTGGTTGCCTCCGGGGAGGCAGGGAGCACTTCTCTCACCCGTGAGACGGGGCTGCTGGCACCCCAATGCCTTCTTTCTGC